CCGTTGTATTTTCATTCCAGGAGAGGTCCTCGGAGATGGTTGTTCCCAAAAACTTGAAGGTGGAGACCCGCTCCACCTCATCGCCGTTGATAAGCAGTGGGACTGGATCATTCCTTTTCCTCCTAAAATCAATTACCATTTCCTTGGTTTTCTTAGTGTTCAGCTCCAGGTTGTTGTTGTTACACCATTTGGACAGTGCCTTGGACCTCCTCCCTGTACTCCGACTCATCTCCTCCTGTTATAAGGCCAACCACTGTTGTGTCGTCAGCATATTTAATGATGGTGTTGGAGGAGTGGATGGGAGCACAGTCGTAAGACTGTCTCACCTGAAAAGTGATTATCTTTAAACTCAACGGGCTACTGTTTTTATAGCTAGTAATAACAGGCTAACAACTTAACACGAGTTAGCCTAACACTTCTAGATATTATCTAGCTAGTTAATCAGTAACTTTTTCCATTTCAATTACATCACCAAGCGGAAGCGAGAAAGCGGACAAATGGAATAAATCCAATTAATGCTGCCCATGGATTGCACTATAATCTATCCAACCCTATTATGGGTTTTTTTTTTCATTGTGAAAGAAACCACATGAGCCAATCACAATATAGTAATCAGCTCCAATGTTTCTGAATGAAAATGAGCATCTTTGCTTACCAATTATTTATAATAATATGTTTAAAAAATACACAGATGCACACTTTATTATGCTATTTTGTTGCTATACCTTAGACATCAGTATGTTTTAATAACTGCTGCTGTGCATTGTTGAAAATGATTATTTAAGCTAAAGATAATTTAAAAAACATATTTATCTACCCTTAATTATAAGCTTTATAAAGTTATAAAGCTTATAATTAAGTGTAGATTCAGTGCAGCCATAGAGAATTCAGAATATGCATTTTATTACTGTCTGACATGACAGCAGTGAAAAGATGAGCAAATATTCATTATGAATTGCTGTCAGTGTAGACACTAAAAAGTAATTATGTGTATGAATTATGTGTAATAAGTTGTTTTCTCACATAAACCTGTTCCATACAGGTATAACGGCATTGAAAAATCCATACCTTAAAGATATTTACAACCAGATCAGCCATCCATGATTAGCCTCAAAATGCAAACTACAAAGTATAAGTTATATACTTAACAAATACACAGTCCCCCATAGTAGAAATACCAACCTATAGCATTGTTTTCCTTTATAATTAGACTAATATGGGATACCACCCTATCTGGCAACACAATCTGACTACTGCTGCTGCTGCTCTCAGTCCATGATCAAACTTTTCTTCCTCATATGAAACTTTGCTCAAGTACCGCCTCTTGGCTGGAGCATGTGGGAGGACCGTGGCCCAAAGAGACAAAGAAATCTAGACACACATAATAAACTGCCCTTTTTATATTACTGTAGTGCCATTCATTCACATGAAGACTGGGGATCAAATGCCTAAATTTTTCTTTTCCAAAATAATAAATGTGCCATTGTATTTGACGTCTCTGCTATCAATGGTCATTAATGCAAAGCAATCTTTAGGCTTTATATCCTTTTATAAAGTCTGTTTTTTTTTGTTTTTTTTTTTTTAAATTAGATAAAACCTCAAATTCTGCATGACATTTCAGGAAGTTGCTCCAACCCACGTTTATCGATTTGAATGAAACTTGGTAGAAAATATAGCTAGTCATTATATACCTAGGCAACTTCTTCTTAAAATCAAATTCTTTAAAAAAAGTAGTACACTCTTAGAAAACATTTATTTGTATAGTTAAATGTTTTTAGCCTCTTAACTGGGTTTTAGTTTGATAGAGAAACACTCTTATAGGACCCACATAGAACCTTTAAAGACACTAGAAACATGCTTTCAAATGTTAAAAAAAAAATCAAGGCAATACCAAAAATCTGTTATATAATATGCATTTAGCAATTACAGATTCAAGAAATAGACTATATATCCACAACTATGATATAATCATAACTAAAACCTACAGAAGGTCCCATGTCTGATCAGGACTGTATGGGCGTGTCGCCATTTTGTCATGCATAATGAACGATAACCTGAACAAGTGAAGTGCTAGTGCTAGAAAAGCATGTAGAAATGACAGACTGGTTCCTCCCCGGTGCTGTTTTCTTTTTTTAACATGCTACTCAGGAAGGTTGCATGGTATTTTGTTGTATATTGTACATATTTCTGGCTCCTCTTCATCCAGCCTGCTGAAATGACTCTATATAATAGACACTTTAGCCCCCCAGATGACATGTGTCCACACTCCAGAGCACACTTGGTTGCCTGTTAATGTGTCCATATCTAATGTCACATCCTCTACAACTATTTTCACAGTTCAATCCAGCATTGTTCGGCTAGAATCAATTTAATAAAGGATGTGAATCTGTGCTTCAAGTGTATTAACTGTCTTGCTCACTGCTGCAGTGACCTTCACTCCTACAGTATGTCTGTTTCTCATTGTCCTTAAATCCTTGAGTTGCAATATTGCAGAAACATCTTTCATATTTTTGCCAGGTAGCATATGGGTTGGCTTCAGCCCCATCTGAATTTTAAAAGATCGCTTGTTGGCTTACGGGGTTTACAGATGTGTCCAGTGACGTGGCCTGACTATCGGGTTTTTAATTTGAATGTAAGCACGGATTAATGTACTCTTTCTAGAATAGATTCTAATAGAAAAATAAAGAAAAAGAGACAGGAATTGTCAAAGTCTTATTCAGTGAGTGCTACGTACATATAATTGCTACATTTGACAAAAACAATGCAGCCATTTTATTACAGTTATTAGCATGTAAGCATAGATAAAAGAATCCATGCATATATGACATGCTACCCATGTGATGAAAATAAACTGACATATGATTGCTCTCACTGTGACTTTTTCATTTCATAACATTGCCTTTTACACAGTACATTGCAAAGTGACTTGGAAATTATGCCCTCCATATACTTCACAAAGGAACTGACTGTGCTCCCTAGTTGAAACACTCTCTGAGGAAAGAGCTAATGTGAAAGTTGGCAATTTTTCTAAGAGTGTTGTTCTTTCGGCTGCTCCCGTTAGGGGTCGCCACAGCGGCTCATTAATCCGCATATTTGATTTGACTCAGTTTTTACGCCAGATGCCCTTCCTGACACAACCCTCCCCTATTTTATCCAGGCTTCAGTCAGGCACTGAGAGCACACTCTTGCACTCAACCCCAGTGGCTGGGGTTGGTTCCCTGGCCAGGAATTGAACCCAGACCACAGCACTGGGAGCGCTGTGGCCTAACCGCCAGTCCTCCAAGGACCTGATTTTTCTAAGGGTGCACAATTGAAAATGATGTACATTAGAGTGTACAAGTGAAAAAAGATTGAACAATAGAAAGACTGTACAATAGAAACATGAATGCACTTCTATTGTACAACTGATCTTTAAAAAAAGAATTCCAAGAAGTTAAAAATGAAATGTGTGTTCATCAAACATACAGCTTTCAAAGGAGAAATTGCTTTTTAAAAGATGCAAAATGAAAGAGTCGTCTGGCAGAACAGGAATGTCAGAAAGAATTGAGCACCAACATTTATTTATTCATTCAGCTTCACTACCCATTTTATCCTGGTCAGGGTTGCAACAAATTTGAAGCCTATCCCAAGGACGCCGGACGTAAGGCGGGAATACACCCCAGACAGGATGGAACCATGCACACACACATTGACACCTAGGGGCAATTTAGGATGGATTTGCCAATCCATCGAACCGCAGACCCTGGAGCTGTGAGGAGACAACGCTTTAAGAGATTTGTATTTCACCCTCTTGCAAGGATGACATGGAAACGGCACAGTGACTATTATAGAGAAGAGTAATATTCTCCTGACACTTTTATCCAAAGCGACTGACAATTAAGGAGACAACTGAGCACTTGAGGGTTATGGGTTTTGCTCAAGGGCCCAACAGTGACAGCTTGATGGTGCAAGGATTTGAACACAGAACCCATCAGTAATCTAATGCCTTAACCACTGAGCTACCACTGCTGTTTAGTTGTATCACATACATAAAGAAAGATGCAAACTTTTGGACTAATATCATTTTGACAATTTTCGGCCCGTGAAATATAAACACTAAATGTCTTTTTGGTATATATGTCAGATGTTTTTTTGGACAACATCTTGGAGATATCATCTAGCCAGGGATTGTGTCCTAGAAATCAGTGTGAATAATCCATGCGTTCATCTTCTGCCTCCTCTAGTGGACACAAAGGTATAACATACAGATTGCCATAATAAAAATTCAGTTTGTGTTGTTTGAATTAAATCTTGAACAAAGATCAGTCATATTTCAGTCTTTATATCCATGTCTACACTGGACTTCCAACACAGTTTTCTGATTTCCTTGCTCGAACACAGTTTACAGAACTCATTGTTTAATTATCATGTTTAAATATAACATTAGAACATACTGATTTTCAAAAATCCTCAGTGATTAATTTACACCTCATTACCTAGTACACTATGGGTGTTGCTGCCTGCTGCCTCACAGCTCCAGGGTCTCGAGTTTGATCCTGAGCTCAGGATGCTGTCTGTGTGGAGTTTCACATGTTCTCACTGTGTCTGTGTAGGTTTCCTCTGGGTTCTCTGGTTTCCTCCCACATCCCAGAAACCTGCTGGTAGGTGGACTGGCTGTGATGAATTGCCCCTAAGTGTGTGTGTGTGTGTGTATGTGTGTGTATGTGTTTGGGGGGTACTCTCCAATGGACACCCATTCCGGCATTACACCATGTGTTCTTGGAATAGGCACCGGACCTGCCCCTGACCAGGACTGAAGATGAATGCATAAATGAATGAATTAAAACATTATGAGTAAGATTTTGCAGCTTGCTCTTATCAACCCATGATTCACTGTGAATCTGTTATCAGAGTGAGCTGTCAATCACATGGGTTTGCCCACTCCGCGCGCACTGAAGGAGGGAGTGAGCGAGCGCGCGCGGTTGTATAAAAGCTGGAGATTAGCTGTCAAACGCGGTGCTGAGACTCACGGAGAGGCACTGATAGAAAAAAGAACAAGAAAAAAAAGATCCGTAAGATGTATGATCGGTGAATTACGCAGCAATGGAAGGTGCGGGGTTGCACAAGGCACCCGCGCTTTTCTCCGAGAGCATGGTGGAGATTTTGAACCTCAGCGGATGGGCGACACCGAACAAGAGTGTAACACACCTGCACAGGTTCAGCAGTCTGGAGGACATCGACCTGAGCGCAGACGGAAGTCTTATCCTGAGGGTCATCATTTCGTCGGTTTACGCAGCGGTGTGCGCTGTGGGTCTGGTCGGCAACGTGCTGGTGTTCTTCCTGATGAAGACGAAGCTGGGGAAGAGGAGGAGGAAGAGATCCGCGATCAACTTTTTCGTCGTCAACTTGGCCGTGACCGACTTCCAGTTCGTGCTCACGCTGCCGTTCTGGGCTGCGGACGCGGCGCTGGATTTCAGCTGGCCCTTCGGTAACGCCATGTGCAAGATCGTGCTGTCGGTCACCGTGATGAACATGTACGCCAGCGTGTTCTTCCTCACGGCCATGAGCGTGAGTCGGTACTGGTCGGTGGCGTGCTGCGTGAGATGCAGCGGCGCGCGCCGCAGGTTCACCTCGGTCAAGCGCGTGTGCGCGGCGCTCTGGGTTCTCGCGAGCGTCGCCACGGCGCCCACGTCCGCCTTCTCCACGGTGACGGTGGTGGCCGGTGAGAGGCTGTGCCTCCTCCGCTTTCCCGACGGCCACCGCTGGCTCGCGCTCTATCACCTCCAGAAGGTCGTGCTCGCCTTCATCTTGCCCATGATCACGCTGTCCATCTGCAACGCGCTACTTCTGCGCTTCGTGCGCCGCAGGATCGTCGCGAACGGCAACCGCCCGAGGAGACGGTCTAAAGTCACCAAATCCGTGATCGTCGTGGTCCTGTCGTTCTTCATCTGCTGGATGCCGAATCACGCCATCACGCTTTGGGGAGTGCTGGTGAAATTGAACGCGGTGCGCTGGGACAAGACGTACTACATGGTGCACACCTACGTGTTCCCGCTGACTGTTTGCCTCGCTCATGCGAACAGCTGTTTAAACCCGGTGTTGTATTGCTTAATGCGAAGGGAGTTCAGGAAGATGCTGAGGAACCTGTTCTGGAGAGTTTCCTCGCCTGCTGTCACGAAAGCGCGCGGCTCTGGAGGTGCCGTGCACCGAGAATCCGTTTAAATGGGATTTGAGTGGGATGAGACTGTGTGAAATGTCTCATCAGCTCCAAAACTGCTGTTCGTATGAATAACGCAGACTTGGACAGATAATAACAGCTGAGCAGGTGGTGCGCAAAAGAGATCCTTATCTGTGGGAAAACGTGTGTTTTTTTCAGCGTCTTCAACACGGATGAGCAGAATTAAATTTAAATTTAATTGAATTGAATAATTTAATTTTTCCTTAATAATTGACTTTAACATAGTGAACTGATCAACCCAAATAAATGCACTCACGCATCATCACTCTTATTTGACATGTAAATACAAGAAAAAATAGTAAATATGTTTTATATCAATTGTTTCATGTTTCTATTGTTACAGAGGACTAAAATGAAAATGTGTGTGTGTATGTGTGTGAGGAAGAGAGACAGAGACATGGCATGTATAAACATTTGTTTGCAAACACGCATGTGCAGTGCCAAATGGATAGCACAGGATGCCATTTTGACCAAACCTCTCCAAAGCCAATGCAGTATTGACATTATGTGACCTTAAAAAGAATAAATCAGGCAGTCTGCAAATCCAGTAGGTTGTGTCACCTCAGAGTGTGCTCGTGCTCCACCTGTGCCACCCAAGCTACAAAAAAAATGCAAATATGGAATCTTTGCTTTGTTATTATTCATTTTTATCTGACCAAGATATTTATTAAAAAAAAAAAAAAAAAAAAAAGCAGTGTAGAGTTTTGTATGTGTCTGTGTCGTTTTCCTTCAGGTTCTCCGGGTTCCTCCCCCAAAGGCATATTCCAGTATAGATGGATTGGCTATACTAAATTGCCCCTAGGTGTGAATGAGTGTGTGAATGTGTGTGCATGGTGCCCTGCAGTGGACTAGCATCCCATCCGGGGTGTATTCCTGCCTCGCACCCAGGATACACCATGACTCTGACCAGGATAAAGTGACTACTGAAAGTGAAGGAATGAACTGTATTTTTCCATCTGTCTTTTAGGTCATGTACCACAAATTATTAATTAAAGTTTTAAAAGTACAGCACTGGCCCTTCGGGTCCAATTGTGTACTTTAAATATATACTATATTCACTTTCCCAGGTGAAAGATATATACTGAAGGTACCAAAGATGGTACCATGCCTGCAACAGAGGAAAAGTACAGTTTGGTACCTTTAATACTGAGAGTGGACTGCAGTGCAGTGGAGTGGAGTGCTCCAGCCCAAATCTCCCACCAAATCCAACTAATTAAATGGATTGATGATCTGCGTAAGACATGTTCACATGTGAACGATTTCATAATTAGTAATAACATTCACAAACATCCAGCAGACATCCAAATGGATTCAAAAGAAAGCTGGAACTTGGTTTCAAACAGTTGTAATAAATGTTAGGAATGCTAATCCTTGCCCCAACCCTAACATTATCCTTTGTAACTTTTCAAAACACATTTAAAATATTTAAACTGGTTTGAGCCCAGTATTTTGTTGTAGAAATCACATTTGTAGAAATTCTTTCCAGTGCACCTGCTTATAAAACAGATCAATCCTCACCTCTGACACAAATTGTCTCCTAAATTGCATGTGGTCAGAATCTAGTAGAGGTTAATAAGAAGTAGCTAAATTGAATCCGATTGATAGTAGCAGGTCTAACCTTTACTTGTTTGCAATCCTTAGAATTCATCTTCATCATTATTGGAATGTGGATCCAAAATTCCAAGCATACACAAAAAGTGTGTTTGAATAAAGTTTGATTCAAAGAATTTGCATAACCTTTCCATGTATTTACTGATTTCAGATATAGTGTATAAAATAATAACCAATTTCAGATACAGTGTATTAAATAACCTATTTCAGATATAAATATAGTCCGATATACTGTGTAAAATAATGGGTGGACGTTGGCTGACACCAAATGGAACAACAATCAACAAGATCAGCAGTTAGAAAATTCATTCAGTCAGACATCTTCAGTAAGTGCTACAGCCTGGTTAGGGTTACAGTGGATCCAGCACCTGTCCCAGGACTCTTGAGGCTGTGGTTCCAGTGGTGCAATTGGTTAGTGTATGGTACTTCTATACCATAGAGCCTCACCTAGAGCACAA